ACTTTGTTCAAGATATGGAACTATACCTGCATCATACGCATGTCAAAGCGGCCAACAAATACAGTTACTGATACCAGGAGGTCAAAAACTGTCTTGAATAAATCGGCTGATGTTCTGAAACACAGAATGTACGTAACATGAGAATGAAATCATAAAAATCCCTTCCAGAAAAAGGCACAAGAAGTTATGGACAAAGAAGCAAAGGAATAATATATAGTATACCCCGAATACCAAGGAACCATATCCAAGAAATCAGGTTTCATCTGCTCCTTCCTCAACTTCTCATCTTCTTCAACAGACAAAGGGTGAGTAAGAGCCCACCTGGTGTTTGTCAAAAATCAATAAGTATAGTGCTGAAGGAGAAAATGAATCATATTTGTATAGAAACAAAACAATAATATGAGTAAGAGTTATGGCAGATAGAAGCAAAATCAGCTGAGTTCAATAATTTACAATTGTAATGCCCAGGTTATGAACGCCAAAGAACACCTTAATATGCATTCATACAAGTCATGATATGATCTACATTGACATTGAATAATCAACAAAACATTCCCCATTATGAAATCATATTGAAACACTACTTACCCAGTTGATCTTTCAACAACATAATTGGCAATGTAAAGACCAATAAATGTGGCCCACAATGAGTAAATGGGAGAAATTTCATCTGATGAAGCTGAACATGAGCCATTGCAAGCCAACTAAAAATTGTGAAAAGAGAGTATAGAAAAAAAGTAAGATTCACCATACTGAATACACAATGAAACAAGATGTTATAATAATCATAATGGACTATAGCCATACCTCACCATAAATGACCCACTTGGACAAAAGTGGATAATCACTAGCAGAACCTACTGGAGCAAACCAAGATGAGCAGACCTGATCTTTCAACTCATTCATTCGAAGAAACTTTGCAAGTAATGTATTTCTCTCTTCTTTCTTGAAAAGAGAAAACCAATTAGAATTTTTCTGTTCAGGAGGTCTTTCTCTTAGCACGGCACAGTTGCCACAATGACTGTAGAATACACAGCAGGCTATACTAAGAACCTAAACAAACAGAAGAAAAATATTAACCTTAGGACTATGTTGAACACAACTGCTTATAATACAATGTGGATATACACAAAAGTGCCTTCAGCACTTACTGCACAATTTTGGAGAATGGTTAAGATCTCTGGCCTCTTTCCAGCCACACAGGAAACAAGACCAACATACCACAGGCCAAGAAATATAATATGGAAGACAAGAAGAAAAAGAATGGAAGAGATATATATTGTCAGAAACAAAGACAAATTCATCCTCATATCCACTCCCATTGACTGAAAACTTGGAAGATGGTAGAGGGCTGCTACTAATATCCATGCTATGTACCTGCAGATGTATTTACAGAAGGTTACCAATCAGCTTTGGCTCCTTCCAAGTTCCCTACACTAAGACAATAACTATTTAAATAAATTCATTTCAACATTATCAACAACACAATCTGATATGCTTTAGAATAAAACGCTCACCATCTACTAAAATTTGAATAGCTTGGCTTGATAGTCTTCCCTATAAAGGGAGATGAAAAGAAGTAGAAAAAGCCAAGTAGGCAGGCATACATAGACCACCATTTGATATTGTTATCCAACTTTTCTATCAGAGTATGCATGTTGTCAGAGGAGATAAAAAACAGGCAACCCACAACTACAGCAATTATGGCATGACGAGAGTGCTCATGCGGGTAAGGATATGTATGAGTTAGAATAGTCCTGACACTCTCCATTCCAAGAGTGTCTAATAATCCAGTAGACTGCTTATTGGAACTCATCACTAACTCTGCCCAATCTTGTGCTGCTTAACTTAATTTGATTTCAGATCACATCACACTTGTCGTGCAAGGACCAATTCTGGGTTCCTAATCATGCATTTCACCAAGAGACAGGTCATTGCAAGGAGCCAAAAACCCTTTACATTACATGTACACTTAATTAACTAATTTAACTCTATAATTACTAATTAACAATGTCTCAACCGAATTGAATGAAGTGGACTGTAGCAAAACAAACATCAGATACCTGCTAGCATTATGCATTTCCAAATTAATAATCCTTAAAAAAAAAAAAAAAAAAAAAAAAAAAGTGAAGAAAGCATATTTAAGAGGGTCCTATTTTTTTTCTTAGCAACCAATGCCACCAAACTATCCTAGTTTAAACAAGCTAACAAATTTAAGAATAAAAATACTAAGTTCTACTTCATCATTAATTACAAAAAAGGGGTATAAAAGCAAAGAATCCATTTGGATGCCGAGAAAATGAAAGGAAAAAGATAGAAACACGAAGTAAATGCTAAATTCAGCGATTCAATGTTGCTAAAAAGATACCAAACGCCAATCCAATCCATCTTCTTGACAATTGAAATCACCACTAGGGTTTGGTCCAATACTGAAGAGAACATTTGAAAACAATAACCGCCACAAAAAGAAAAACACAGAAGTTCGCTCGTCAGGAGAAATAAATAAAAATAATCAAATGAAAATGAAACTGAATTGATGATACATTGATACCCAAAATGCCGCTGCGACCTGAAAATTGTACCTGACGAACGAAGAAGGGAGAGAGGAAGAGGGAAAGCATGCATGTGAAAAGGCAATAATGTGGAATGTTTGTTACAATGTGGAATGTGGAGGAAGGAATCTATGGGAAGCAACTTGGTATCTGGGAATGTCTGCGAAGAACACAACAATGGCGTATTCCTCTCTGTAGACCCATCACTTGCAGTCTTGCAGAGGCTATGGTTTCAGGAACTGAATTTCTTTTTTCTTTTTTCTTTTTTCTTTTTTTACGCTGATCAGTCCATCTATGGCAAAACCCTACATTAAGCCCCCAAACTTATCCTATATTTTCTATTAAATCCCTAAGCTTTTATTTAAACAATTAAATCCTCAATTTGGCGAGTTAGGCAATCTAATCCCTCTTTTTTATAGCAAATTTAGCACATATTTGTCTACCGTTTACATGGATAAGATTCTGACATATCATTAGTTATGTAACAAATATTGATCTTATTTATTCAAGTCAAATATAAATAAACGTTAATACTATTGTAAAGAAAAAAGTTAAATCATATAAATCAATAAACTTAGGAACTTATTAATTTTAATAAAAATTTAAAAGTCTAATAGAGAATATGGAGTAAGTTTAAGAGTTTAACATAGGTTTTGCCTTTGCAACATTTCGATTTTCTCTTTTTAAAATTGAAAATATAAATAAAAATTTTAAAAGGGCTAGAAAAATAAACAAAAACAAAAATGAATTGGTCTCGGCCCATTTTTTGGACATAATTAGTCTCTGGCCCACTCCTGGGTTGCGTTTCATCCAATCCAATTTGCCGGCTGACTGGAAGCACAACAAGACCAGCCTGACCCATATATCTAATATCAAAAAATAAAGTTTTGTAGGTCCGTATTTATAAATTTTTTTTTAAATGACTTATTTAAAATTTTATTTTTTAATTAATATTTTTAAAAATTAATTTTTAGATTA